ATAAGATATCTATTTTCCCTACTCTGGCTCAAGAGAGAAACTACCAATCTGGAAATATTCCTACCGCAATGGGGACCAGAATTTTCACTGCTGAACAAGGCAGTGGTTGTATTGGAGTTGTGCCCAACTGTACAATCTTTTTTGTTAGGATCAGAGAATCATCCGGCCCTTAGCAAACCCGGCTTCGCTCGTTGTTGGGAGCCAGCTGAGAAAGTCACTGGGGACTGGACAACCGGGGCAAAAATGGCCATAAATAAGCAAAAATAATGTAATGAGTCTTCCATTCAGCAACGTAAATTTGGGGCTCAACCATGGTCGTAAGTCAAGGATTACCTGTACTTCTTTAGAAAGGGAAAGGAAAGGAAAGGAAAGGAAAGGAAAGGAAAGGAAAGGAAAGGAAAGGAAAGGAAAGGAAAGGAGAGGAGAGGAGAGGAGAGGAGAGGAGAGGAAAGGAAAGGAAAGGAAAAGAGAGGAAAGGAAAGGAAAGGAAAGGAAAGGAGAGGGAAGAAGGGAAAGAAATGAAAGAAAATGAAGGGAAGGAAGAAGGGGAGGGAAGGAAAGGAAGGAAAAAGGGACGGAAGAAGGGAAAGGAAGCGAAGAAAGGAAAGGAAGGAGGGAGGGAGGGAAGAAGGAAATGAAAGAAAAGAAAATGAAGGGAGGGAAGAAGGGAAGGAAAGGAAGAAGAGAAGGAAAGGAAGGGAAGGGAAAAAAAGGAGGAAGGGAGGGAAGAAAGAAAGGAAAGGAATCAGGCTCACCTTCCAGCACATTCTAGAAGCATCTGAGGTGGTTTGACACACCGTATAACCCCCACCTGAGTTCATTCAACGAATGGGCAAGGAATGAATGAGGACAGGGACCGTACTTCCTGTTTCCCCTTTGCCCTTGGCAACTGAGTGGCTCGAAAACAATCGTTCCCCGACTTTCTGATTTTTAAATGCTACCTTGGACCTGTCTGTATTCTTTGATCTTCCCAACCGGAGTTCATGTAACAACACACCCAAAGGAGCCAATAAAAGACAAAGAAAAACCCCAAAAAAAACAAAAAAGAAAAAAGCAACACCGCACACCACCTGCAGTGTTTCCTGGCCATGATGTTCGGTTTCTATTCCCGGAAATTCAACATCCCTTCGCATAACCTGTCCGATCTGGAATAATTTGTGCTTCCCGTGGGAATTCTGGGTTGGGTTTGTTTGTTGATCCCACTGGTTGCCTTTCTTGATTGCATTCTCGGGAGCCTTCCCAAAGGTGTCCATACTGTGTCATACAGGTGCAGTATAGGTAGCACCTCGCTCGATAGTAACCGCCAGAGGGATCTTGGCAGCGGTGGGCTTCAAAAAAATTTTTTACTACCGGTTCTGTGGGCGTGGCTTGGTGGGCGTGGCTTGGTGGGCATGGCAAGGGAAGGGATACTGTAAAATCTCCATTCCCTCCCCACTCTTGGGGGAAGGATACTGCAAACCCCCATTTCTTCCCCTCCCTACCCCACTAACCTGCTTTGCAGTTCCGTTCTCCTGTGCAGGGCAACCAAACTCAGGAGGCAGAGAATAGGTGGGGTTGGCGGGGGCCAGCTCAGAGGTGGCACGTTCCACTTCTCCGAAGTGCTCAAAATGTCCACTTCCGGTTCTCCAGAACTGGTCATAACCTGTGGAATGCCACCTCTGGATCTTGGAGTCCTTCCTAGTGGATATGAACTGAAATGGGAGCCAGGCGTGTGATTCAGTTGCCGCACACACACACAAAAAAAAGAAAGTCGACACAATTCTAGACTGCATCAACAGAGGGATAGAAACAAGATCACGGGAAGTGTTAATACCACTTGAAAAATGCCTTGGTCATAAGGTAACCTGGCATATTTTGGTCATCACGATGTAAAAAGAGATGTTGAGATTCCAGAAAGAGTGCAGAGAAGAGCAACCAAGATGAATAGGAGCAGTGGCGGGATTCAAAGTTGGTTCTGTTGACTTGAAGGATCTTCAAAACTATGTCCCTGGGAGCTGAGACACGGTAGTGTTCTAGCCTCCTTTTCTTTAGATTTATTTTATGTCTTTTGAAAGTTTTTGGTGACAGAGAACTTAGCTGACCTCCGTTGATTTGGGAAAAGCCAAATGTTATCAAATTGGACTCATTCTTGGACGAGAGTCATCCGAAAGTCCCAGGGCCATAGATCAGTTGAAAAAACATCTTCAAGAATTGACAAACCCTATCGAAGCTACCAGATGAGGTCATTCGTGTAATCCGTAAGACTCAAATTCTGCTCAAGTGAATCTTTATTTTTTTAAAGGTTTCTAATGAAATGGATTTTTGGAGAAACGGAGGCCAATTGCAAAAGATATTAGCTGGGACTCGGTATACTTCCATGCATTTCAAAAAAGGGGAATTGTCTTTTTTTGAAAAAATAAAATAAAATAAAATTAAGGCACCTTTGAGATCTGCCGCCAGGCAGAAGAATTTGCATTCCAGTAAGCCATTTAAGCTGCAAAGTAAAATTGGAGAGGAACAAATTTATTACGGCTTAATCCTAGATGGATCCAGGTAGATATTGGCAGTGAGCATATCTGATTAATTTGAAATGAATGAAATGGTCTCCGGAAAGCGTAGTGGGAAGCGAATGTTCCCATTTGAAATGTGTTATTATTTTCAGCAACGGGCAGAGCTCTGATTAAGTGCAATAAACTTAATTCTGAATAATTAATGGTTGTAAGTTCCACAGAAGCTTACAGAAGTCTACTCAGAAAGGGGACAGGTGGCAGTGACTGTAGCTTTGATAAGATATAAAAGAACAACAAATCTGGAGGATAACAATGAGGGAGGGAGGAGGGAGGGAGGAAAGAAGGAAAGAAGGAAAGAAGAAAAGAAAAGGAAATGGGGAGGGAGGAAGAGAGGGAGGAAGGAGAAGGAAGGAAGGAAGGAAGGAAGGAAGGAAGGAAGGAAGGAAGGAAGGAAGGAAGGAAGGAAGGAAGGAAGGAAGGAAGG